AATAAGGACCTACTGTGTAGCATAGAACAATATTCTGCAATAACCTATATGGGGAAAGATTCTGAAGAAAAACAGATGTATGTAGACATATGAGTGAATCACTTTGCAGTTACTCCTGAAACTAACACAACATTGTTAATCAACTATATGTCAATATAAAATAAAAGGTTTTAAAAAAGAAAATAAAATGGAATGTGGGAGGATGAGTGGGGGGTGGTGAGAAATGAATCATGAGGCCAGATACACTTTTGAATATTAAGCTGATTCCTGTGGAGAAGGGGCCCCATGAGAGCCGCTGGTTCAGGGCTGTCTGTGCAGCTCAGCTCTGTGAAGATCTGGATTTCCCATCCCAGCAAAGTGAAGTCGCTCAGTCATGTCCGACTTTTTGCGACCCCATGGACTGCAGCACGCCAGGCCTCCCTGTCCATCACCAACTCCCGGAGTTTACTCAAACTCATGTCCATTGTGTTGGTGATGCCATCCAACCATCTCATCCTCTGTCGTCCCCTTCTCCTCCCGCCCTCAATCTTTCCCAGCATCAGGGTCTTTTCAAATGAGTCAGCTCTTCGCATCAGGTGGCCAAAGGATTGGAGTTTCAGCTTCAGCATTGGTCCTTCCAATGAATATTCAGGACTGATCTCCTTTAGGATGGACTGGTCAGATCTCCTTGCAGTCCAAGGGGCTCTCAAGAGTCTTCTCCAACACCACAGTTCAAAAGCATCGCTTCTTCGGTGCTCAGCGTTCTTTATAGTCCAACTCTCACATCCATACATGACTCCTAGCAAACTCTGCTGTTAAAGTGCTTGATACGCCCTGCAGCTAAGCACAGACTCAAAGGTTGAGAGAAAAATGGGGTGCAGGCCACTAACGCTCCCGGAAGTGCTGCCTTGTTCACTGCCCCATTTCCCTGCATGCCCCCCCCACCCCCACTGGAGGGCCTGGGATGACACAGGGCTGCAGTGGCCTGGAGGGAGAGGCGGGCCACAGGCTGTTTCAAGGGGCTTCCCAGGTGGCTCAGTGGTAAAGAATCTGCCTGCCAGTGTAGGAGATGTGTTCGATCCCTGGGTCAGGAAGATCCCCTGGGGGAGAAAATGCCAACCAACTCCAGTATCACTGCCTGGAAAATTCCATGGACAGTGGAGCCTGGTGGCCCCCAGTCCACAGGGTCACAAAGAGTCAGTGGGACACGCCTTGGTGATTGAGCACACAGGAAACTGAAAAAACTACAGCCAAGAGGGATATATTTGCTGTTTATAACCAAACTATGAAGACTTCATAGAACACATGTAAGAAGTGATGTTTAATTTTGTGAATAATTCTTGTGAATTATGAATAAAAGTGTGAATAAAAGTCCATTTTGTGAATAATTCTTGTGAATTGTGAATAAAAGTGTGAATAAAAGTCCATTTTGTGAATAATTCTTCAGTCTTCTTTAAATAAACAGCCAGGCTCTCGAAAATAAAAATAGAGTAATACTCAAGTATGTGCTGCCTGGACTTCCCAGGTGGCACTACTGGTAAAGAATCTGCCCACCAGTATAGGAGACGCTGGAGACACAGATTCGACCCCTGGGTTGGATGATCCCTTGGAGGAGGGCATGGCAACCGATTCCAATATTCTTGCCTGGAGAATCCCATGGACAGAGGAGCCTGGCGGGCTACAGTGCATGGGGTCTCAAAGAATTGGACACAACTGAAGCGACTTAGCATGTACATAAGTATGCTGCCTATTAAAGACTCACTTTAAAAATAAAAACACAGATAAATTAAAAGTAAAAGATGGTAATTGCACAATAATAATAATAATAAAGTGAGTCACCATATTAATAACAATCAAAGCAGATCTTAGAGCAAAGAACATTGCCATGGATAAAGAGTAATTTCAAGACCAGAGGGTCAGTTCTTCACCTGGATGTAACAATCCTAAGTGTTCTTTCACTTTACAACAGATCTTAAAAATAAATCAAGAACTAATAGAACTGAGAAAAGAAATAAGCACATCCATCATTATCATCAGAGATTTTAGCAAGTCTCTTTCCATAATTAATATAAGGAAACAGAAACTCAGTAAAGATACAGAGTAGTTGAACAAGACTATCAATCAGCTTGCCCTAAACTGACATCTATTGAACACTCCAGCTAAAACCGCAGCATACGTAATCTTTTCAAGCCTGCTGCACGCCAGGCTTCCCAGACCTTCACTCTCTCCCGGGGTCTGCTCAGACTCATGTCCGTTGAGCTGGTGACGCCATCCAACCATCTCATCCTCTGTCGTCCCCTTCCCCTCCATCACAACGTATGGCATACAGTTAATGATACTGAGAGATGAATGGCACTGAATGCTCACATTAGAAACAAACAAACAAGAAAGCAAGACAAAAGGTCTCAAAGAACTCAGCTTCCAACTTAAAGAGAAAACAAAAGAGGGAAATAAAAAAAGTGAGAGTAGAAATAAATATAAATTAAGGAAATAAAAGGGAAAAGTCAATTAAATCACTTGAGATCCATGCAACCAGATAAGTGTTGGCCAAATTGATCATGATAAAAGAGGTCAACTGTAAATGTAAAATGTGACATGACATCAAAACAGATTGTGTGGATATTAAAAAGAGAATAAATAAATAATAGAAACCATTTCACGCCAGTATATTTTATAATCTGATAAAATGAGCAAATTCTTTAAAGACATAAACTGCTAAAGCTCATTGAAAAAGAATCAGGTAACATTAATAGTCCCACATCTATTAATAAAATTGGACTTGCAGTGAAAATTCTTCCCAAAAAGAAAACTTCAAGTTCAGATGGCTTTCCTTGACAATTTCACTAAATGCTTAAGCAATAAATAATATTCATTTTACACAAAGTTTCCAAATAATTCAAGAGGAAAGTATACTTTCCACTTCACTCTATGAGGAAGGGATGAGTCTGATACCCAAAACAATTCAAACAAACAAACAGAAACCAGAGATATTACCAAAAAAGTAAACTATAGACCTGAATTACACATTAAATTGGACACAAAAATTCATCACAAAATTTTAGGAAATCACCCAATATATAAAAAAGATGATGCATCATTCCCAAGTACGGTTTATCTTAGGAATGCAAAGTTGATTTACATTTAAAAATCATTAAACATAATTCACCATATTGACATACTAAAAAAGAAAAACTATTATCATTTCAATAGATTCAGAAAAAAGCATTTGACAAAATTCAATATCTGTTCATGAGAAAAATTCTGCACAAAGTGAAAAAAAGAGAATTTTCTCAACATAATAAAAGGCATCTACAAAAACTTCCAGTTAGTATTATACTTAATCATGAAATGCTAAATAATTTCCCTCTAAAATAAGAAGTAAGGAAATTTTATTTGTAATAGCCCCAAACTAAAGCAATCCTTTTGTTAAGAATTGTATTAGAGTGATTGCTAGTGCAAAGATGCAAACAAAAACAAAAAAAGTTCAGACAGGTAGGAAAGAGGCAGAATGATCAATATTCTCAGATGGCATGATAATCTTTGTAGAATATCTGCTAGCATCTAAGAAAAAGTATTACAGTTAAGAAGTGACATTATCAAGATCTTAAGCTATGAGTATACAAAAATCAATTCTATTTCCACTGACAACAAATACTCAGATATTTAAATATTAAAGATTCCACTTAGAAAAACAAAATATGAAATACTTGCATGGGGAAAATTTTGACAAAAATGTGAAAAACTGTAGCTGAAAACTTCCAAACATTGCTGAGAGAAATGAAAGAAAACCAAAACAAATGACTGATACCCTGGCTTCCGACCAATTCTGCAATTTATTTATAGATTCAGCATAATTTCAATCAACTCCAGTAGAATGTTTTGTAGAAATTAGCAAGCTAAATTTAAAATCCATATGGTAATGCCAAAAAGCCTTCTAAAACAATCAACGTTGGAAGACTAAAACTACCCGATTTTAAGGGAATGTAAAACTACAGTATTGAAAATAGTATGATATTTACTCCAAGACAGATGAATAGGGCAATGAAACATAGATATATAGCCCAGAAATAGACCCACACTTATATAGTCAGTGGATCTTCAGTAAATGTGCATGGAAAATTATATAGGGGAAATGACAGTAGTTTCAACAAATACTCCTGAAACATTCAGCTGAAATATGCAGCAAACAAACAAACAAAAACCCACTTTGGAGTCATGCCTTGCACCATATACAAAAATTTATACAATTAGTTCAAAGATCCAAATGTAAAACTTAAAGTTATAATACTTCTGGAAGAAATACAAGAGAAAGCTTTTGTAACCATGCATAGTCAAAGGTCACCTAGATTTGACACCAAGAGCATGAAACATATAAGAAAAAAACATAACTTGGAAATGATTAAATGTAAGAGCTTCTGCCCTTTGAATGGCATTGTTAAGAACATGAAAAGAAAACCCATAGGTTGGGGAAAAAACAATCTTTGAAAAGCAAATATCTGATAGAGGGTTTGACTCCAGAATACGTAAATATTCTTTAGACTTCAGTGATAAGAAAATAAACAGCTTAGTTAAAAGGGGCAAGAGGTGAGACTCAGGGTTCCTGGACCCGATTCCAACATGAGAGAGAGGCTTCCCACACCTTCCAACAAGCAATCCTTGGATACTGCTAAGTGTCTGAAAACTCAACTCAATTCTGACACTATATACCTGGAGACAGCATGAGATTCCATCAGTAGAGAGCTAAATCCCACAAGGCTGCTCACTCGCCCCTACTTCAGAGGCCAGTTACAAGTCCAAATGCTTCTGACCCCACCGGCTAGAGATTGGAAGCTCCAGTGACCACCTTGGGTTTCAGATGCCAGTCACAAGTCCAAGCTGTTATCTGTCCTTCTGACCCACTGGCTCCCATGATCCCCTTCTTAGGTTTGATTAATTTGCTAGAGCAGCTCACTGAACCAGAGAAACATTATACCTGCTTGATCACCTGTTTATTATAAAGGATGAAAGTTGGGAGCAGCCAGATGCTACGGGGAGAGTGCATGGAGCTTCCATGCACTAGACAGCGCCATGTCCCCAACTCCAGACGGTCACCAAGCCAGAAACGCCCTGGGCCTCGTCCTTTCGGGTATGTGTGGAGGCTTCATCACATAGGCTGGAGAAGGAAATGGCACCCTACGCCAGTGTTCTTGCCTGGAGAATCCCGTGGACAGATGAGCCTGGTGGGCTGCTGTCCATGGGGTCGCACAGAGTCGGTCACGACTGAAGCGACTTAGCATGCAAGCATGCATTGGAGAGGGAAATGGCCCCCCACTCCAGTGTTATTGCCTGGAGAATCCCAGGGACGGGGGAGCCTGGTGGGCTGCTGTCTGTGGGGTCGCACAGAGTCGGACATGACTGAAGTGACGTAGCAGCAGCAGCAGCATTACCTAGGCATGGTTGCTTAAAGCACTGGCCATCAACAACTGACTGAACCTTGAGCCCCTCTCCTCTCCCGGGAGGTTAGGAGTGGGGCTCCCTAATCAGAAGGTCTGCTTTACTGGCAACCAGCCCCATCCTCAGGGACTTTCCAAAAGTCTCCTCATTAACATAACAAGAGACACCTTTGGTCACTTTGAACACTTAGGAAATTCCAAGAGTTTGGGGAGCTGTGAGCCTGGAACTGTGAAGGAAGACCACACACATATCAGAAATGTATTTTGGCCTTCAGAAGGACCAAACTTATATTGTTCTTATATATTAAAAGATTGCAAAGAGCTTTGAAGACACATTTCACCATGAAGATATACGGGTGACAATTTTTTTTTTTTACATCAGTCTTTAGAACAAGCTAATTAAAATCACAATAAGATACTTCAGTTCAGTTTAGTTCAGTCGCTCATTCATGTCTGACTCTTTGTGACCCCATGGACTGCAGCACTCCAGGCCTCCCTGTCCATCACTAACTCCCAGAGTTTACTCAAACTCATGTCCATTGAGTCGGTGATGCCATCCAACCATCTCATCCTCTGTCCATCCCCTTCTCCTCCTGCCTTCAATCTTTCCCAGCATCAGGGTCTTTTCCAAGGAGTCAGTTCTTCGCAAGAGGTGGCCAAAGTATTGGAGTTTCAGCTTCAGCATCAGTCCTTCCAATGAACACTGAAGACTGATCTCCTTTAGGATGAACTGGTTGGATCTCCTTGCAGTCCAAGGGACTCTCAAGAGTCTTCTCCAACACCACAGTGCGAAAGCATCAATTCTTCAGTGCTCAGCTTTCTTCACAGTCCAACTCTCGCATCCATACATGACCACTGGAAAAACAATAGCTTTGACTAGATAGACCTTCATCTAATTAAAACCACAATGAGATACTACTACACATCTATTGCACGCTCAGTAGCTCAGTTGTTTCTCACTCTTGGCAACCCCATGGACTGTAGCCCACCTAGCTCCTCTGGGATTGGGACTGTCCAGGCAAGCACTGTCAACCACAAACTGGCACTTGCCAAGAGCATTTATCAGTGACTGAACCACAACAAGGGCATTTGCTGTCTGCCTCTGCTGAGACGGGACCCTGAAGCTGCTGCAGCTGCTGACCTTCGATGCCCCCTGAGGGGAACTCAGGGTGGAGAGTGAGGCACCGTGCTCCAGGGAAACTGATGGGACGGGTCTTTAGATGGTTAGCCATTTTCAGGAACTGATTTCATGATCCCAGTCCTTGCATCTCTTCATGTCTAGAAAAGCACTAAATCCCTTCGTGGTGACATCAGCTCCTCGTGACTAGTAAAAAACCTTTTTTTGTAAAGTAAGCTCATGATTGCATTGAACTCCCACTTCACCAAGATCCTATATACCGACTTTCCCCACTACACCCTTGAAACAGTTCCTCAGAGCTCTCTGAGGAGCTGTCTCCCGGGCTGAATCCTCATTTTGTCCTAAATAAAACTTACCTCACAAGGCTCACACTGTGCATCTTTTTTAGTCGACAGCATACTGGAGTGGGTTGCCATTTCCTCCTTCAGGGGATCTTCCCAACCCAGGGATTTAGTCCATGTCTCCTGCATCTCGTATATTGGCAGATAGATTCTTTACCACTGTACCACCTTGGAAGTCCTTACTACACATCTATTAGAATGGCTAAAATTAAAAGAACCGGCCATACTGTGTCAGCATACTATGTGGAGAGAGTGTGGAGAAATTGGGAGCTCTCATAAACTGCTGGTTGTTATAATTACTTTGCAAAAGCAGCTTGGCAATTTCTTTAAAAAGTAAAACATATACATTCCATAAGACCCAGCCATTTCACTTGGAGGTATTTAACCAAGAGATATGAAACCATAGATCAGTACAATGTGCCCAACTCTTGATAATAATTTCATCTGCAGTAGCCAAAAGCTTAGAGCAATCCAAATCTCTATCGATAATATCAATAAAACCTGGATGCCAATGCCAGTGCAATGGAATACCATCCAAAAATGAAAAGGAATGACTTACTGATCCATGCAGAAATATAGATGAGCCTCAGAATAATTATTCTGAGTAGGAAATGTTATACAAAAAAGAGGTCATCCTGTGTGAATCCATTTAGATAACGTTCTAGAAAAAGTTTAAAAATCTCTAATGACAGAAGGAATATTAGAGATGGTCCTATGGAGATGTGAAGGGTATATGGAGAGGGAAGAGATCTCAGATGAAATTTGTGAGAATGATGAATGATTATTCTCACAATTGTTATGTTAATTTAATGGATGTATACATGTCAAAACTTAGTAAATGTTATCTTTAAATATATACCATTTATTGGATATCATTATACCTCAATAACACATTTTTAAAACTACAGAAAATATACTTTTATAAATAGTATTGTTTCCATTTCTTCTACCCTATCTCCCCTTCCTCTACAAACATTCAAATTGCTTGCATAATTTATATTATTTATTAAATAAATAGTAGCATTCCATATAGAATTTACTCCACCTTGCTTTTTCATGTAGTTATATATCCTGAGATAGGGTAGTATATGGATACATTCCTCATTCCTTTTTTTAGCTGCATAATTCTCCATTGTGTGAATATATCATAGTTTAACTGCTACACATTAATGTTGGGCATTATTTTCAGTATTTGGGTTTTAGTAAAATAGTAATATACTGGTGCAATGAATGATCTTGACATTCTTGTCAGACTTTTGATAGTGTATTTATGGTATATATTCTTACAACTAATATTCATAGGTGAAAAAAATGCAATATAAGTTTGCTAGAGATTACCAAATTCTCCTTCCTTGGGGTTGTACCATTTAATATGCTCTCTAGTAATGTATGAGGTACCTGTATTCAGCAGAGTATATTGTCCTGAATATACAGGCTGAATGGCAGAGTAACACTGGATCTTTGTCTGTATCTGAAATATGAAACATTTTGCTTTAGCTATTTGGCTAAAGAATAAGATGCTAGTGTCAGTAACTGGGCATTTTGGGGAATTGAGTACCCCTGTATCACTGCTGTCATACATCAAAAACTTAACACTTCATAGTAGATTTAAATTAGCAGATTTATGAACAGAATTATATCTCTCCAAAATTCATACAACGAGGTCTCAAACCCTAGTACTTCAGAATATAACTGTTATTTGGAGATAGAGTCTTTAAAGAGATAACTGAGTCAAAATCAGCTGTATGGGTGAATTCTAATCAATACAACTCTATTTGGAAATAAAACCTTCAAAGAGGTATTTAGATTAAAATGAGGCCCATGAAGTGGGGCCCTAATCCAATGGGACCTAATCTAGTATGACCAGTGTTCTTACAAAAAGACAAAGAAACTCCAGGGCTGCAAACACGCAGATTAAGGTCATGTGAGGCCACAGCAAGAAGCTGACATCCACAAGCCAGGGAGAAAGGCATCAGAAGAGAACAAATCTGTCAACACTCTGGTCTTGCAGTTTTGGCCTCCAGAACAGGGAGTGTAAGTTTCTGTTGTTTAAGCTACAGCCTCTGACATTGTGTCGCAGCAACCCTAGCAAGCTAACACTGTGCATTTACTGTGGCGTCATTACTTAAGCCTATTGCTCCTGTTGGTAGTAACCACCAGTCAAAAAGGGGCTTCTGATGGCTCAGCGGGGAAAGAATCCTCTGGCAATGCAGGAGACACAGGAGATGCAGTTTGGGTCCCTGGGTCAGGAAGATTCCCTGCAGGAGGAAATGGTAACCCACTCCAGTATTCTTGCCTGGGAAATCCCACGGACAGAGGAGCCTGGTGGGCTGCAGTCCGTGGGGTCACAAAGAGTCAGACATGACCGAGCAACCAAGCTCACAATATCAATAAAAAAAAATCTCATAGACATTTTATAATTCAGAAGATAGAACAAAAATGATGGTATTCTAACAATGGAGCAGGGAGTATATTACATACCCACTCTTTATTAACTCCAAGTGTTAACTACTGCCAACCCAAATATGCTTATTTCAATCTTACCCTTTCTCATCAGTAATTCTAAAAATGTGGGCACAGCATCTCCTGGGAACTTGTTATAAATACACATCTTGGACCTCACTCCAAAGCAACCAAACCAGAAACTCTGCTGGTTCAGCCCAGCTGTTTGTGGAGTTTTTTTATTTGAGTTTTTTTTAGCTTATTTTTTGAGCTTATTTGAGCTGTTTATTTGAGTTAATAAACTCAGGGGAGTTCAGCATACACTCAGGTTGATAAACATTCTAATAATTCATCTCCGTGCATGTGCATGTGTTAAGTCCCTGCAGTCATGTCCAACTCAATATGACCCCATGGACTGCAGCCCACCAGTCTCCTCTGTCCATGGGATTCTCCAGGCAAGAATACTGGAGTGGGTTGCCATGCCCTCCACCAGGGATCCAACCCACGTCTCTGATGTCTCCCGCACTGGCGGGAGGGTTCATTACCACTAGCGCCACCTGGGAAGCCCAATTCACCCCCACCAATTACCAGAGTGAACTACAGACTCAGAATGCAGGTATCGTTGTGCAGCTGCTCTCTCCTGCTCACTCTGATGTAACAAGTCACCCATAGCCAATGTGATTATCTTTAGCATCTAATACTAGACGTATTCAAATGTTTAAGGTTATGATTTGGAGTTCATAGCCTAGGTCTGAATCCCAGGCTCTCACTTAATCTGTGTTCATGGACAAACTATGTAATTTCCTCCCCCTTGTCATAGGATAATCCCATGCCTACCTCATAGGATCGCCGGCCTGAGTGCTAAGTCTCTTCCGTTGTGTCCAACAATTCATGACCTCACGGACTGTGACCTGCCAGGCTCCTCAGTCCATGGGATTCTCCAGACAAGAACACTGGAGTGGGTTGCCATGCCTTCCTCTAGGAGATCTTCCCGGCCCAGTATTGCTGAGGATCAAATTAGTTAATACATATAAAATGTTAGAGCTGGGCCTGGTGTTTAATAAGTAGTCAATAAATGTTCCCCTTCAGAGATCACCGCCTTGTCGTGGCAAGGGGGCGTGTGTAACTCAGTGAAGCCGTGAGTCTTGCCATGTAGGGCCCCCCAAGACGGCGGGTCAGAGTGAAGAGTTCTGACAGAACACGGTCCGCTGGAGGAGGGAATGACAACTCATTTCAGTATTCTTACCTCGAGAACCCTATGAACAACAGAAAAGGCAAAAATGATGACACCAGAAGATGAACCCCCCAAGTCAGAAGGTGTCCAGTATGCTATGACGGAGGAGCAGAGAGCAATTACTGAGAGCTCCGGAGAGAATGAAGCGGCTGGGTGAAGCAGAAACGATGCTTAGCGCTGCGGTGTCTGGTGCTGTAAAGAATGGACATGAGTTTGAGCAAATGCCAGGAGATAGTCAGGACAGGGAAGCCCGGCGTGGGGTCTGAAAGGCCGGGCATGACTGAGCGACTGAACCACCACAACAATAAATATTAAATTAAAAAATGATTTATTATTTTTCTTCCACCGTTTCCTTATTAGCTAATATCACACTTCATTGCGTGTTGCTTCGCTCCAGTAATACTGAACCACCCTGGTACCCTCTATGTATTATGCTGTCTATTCTATCACTTTACGTAGTCTAAATTTTTCTGAACCTTTTTTAAAGTTATAATGATTTTTGGTGTGTTAGGTCTCCGTTGCTGCGCGAGCTTTGCTCTAGTTGCTGCAAGAAGGCTACTTGCTGCTGCGGAGGCTTCCTTGTTGGGGAGCCCAGCGCGCGCTGGGGAAGTCGGGCTCCGCATCTGCCGGGCGCTGCTCCGTGTCTGCCGGGCGCTGCTCCGTGCATGCGGCGTCTTTCTGGGTCGGGGATACCCATGCCTCTGGCCCAGGCGGGCGGATTCTTTGCTGCAGCGCCTCCTGGGAAGCCCCTCATACTATAAATCTCTACTTCTATTGTTTCAGCCTCCTTGAGCACCCTCTCATATCCAGTGTTGCCTAGATAAGGCGTATTTATTTTTCAGCCAAACCCAATGATGGTTTCTTCCAGGAAGTCTTTCCTCACACCCTCTTAATCACCCACCTTAGACTGAAGTTTGTAGTCCTGTTTTGCTTTTCCTTAGTATGTGTGCTTGATTCTGGGTTGCAGAGACGATCCACATGCTCATAAACCACTTCCTTCCTCCTGGGCTCAAAGCCAGCGGATCTTTCCCAGTCTCCCCTGCAGGTAGCTGTGGCTTCGCAAGGGATTTCTAGCCAATCAGTTACGATGGGATTCAAGCAGAAGTGATGTGTAATTCTTCCAGGTCTGCCTTAGGGAACCTCTCTAAGATAATCCTCCGTCCTCTCTGCCTGCTACACTGAAGATGAAGCAAATGTTTTCATAGGAGCCTGAAAGGATCCTGAGTCCTACATAAACATGGGAAGCCCATCAACCTAACCGTTAGAAACATATATGTTGAAATCATTAAAGTGTTAAACTGCTAAGACTTAGAGATTGATCCGTTACAGTAGCTAGCCTTACCTCAACGTATGCACTCTGTAATCATACTGAAAACTCAGTATTAAAATTATATTTTATTTATCTGAATCACTTATTAGACTGCTGTAACAATTCTGAGTTTAGAGACTGTGAGCTGTCTCATTCATATTTGTTTACAATAAGTAAATACAGACATTCAATGAAAGCCTGAATTCAATGAATGATGACAGAGTATTGAGAGGTACATGAAAACTACATATTGTAGATGATTAATAAATGCTATCTCATTTAACTTTTGCAACCATGCTTGTGGGAAATGTCATCTTCTCTGTTTTATAAGCAAAGGAAGGAACGCAAGAAGATAAGCATTTGGCCAAGGTTGAGAGCCCAAATTGAGGCTGAGAAAGAATACCCAGATCATCCTAATTTTATTTAAAACCTATGTGACTTCCTTGAAACATGTGTCACAGAGTCTGTGAAAATGTACAGTTCATATCCATAGCCTCGTGTCCTATTTAATTTTTTTAAAGAAACAATTGGGCCATATTTTTGTTGCATATTTCTCCAATGGAGAAGAAAACTTTTCAAAATCTCCCAAATTAATTTCCTTTTTAGGGAAACTTATCAGGTGTTATTATTTTCCAAAATATTTTTGGTCAGTCATGTTCATCTATTTCATTTTTCAGACGTCTTTAGACTTACCTTTTGAATAAGTGCTCTAGGCTGTTTTTTTTTTTTAATGGGAGAAAGAAGATAATTTTTCTTCAAACAATGAGGTAGTTTACGATTTAATCGAAAATAAAATACCAGCAACTTGTTATCTTCCAACAAGAACTCCGCAGTCTTTGCTTGCACACTCCTTATTAGTCTCCTTAGCAACGGGTAATCACTTGTTCCCCTTAAATAGATGAGATGCCAACAAATATGTAATAGTGGTTTGATACATCAGCAAAGAAGAGTGCTATAATGACAGCATAATAAATCTGAACATGAAAAGTTAATAGCTACATTAGTGACAGGCTAACTATAGTGTGAGAAGTGCATGGAGTCTGAATTTTCTGCTTCCGCTTCGTTCTCTCTGTGATACTCCATCCTCCCACTCCCCCTCCCTTTTCACAGCCTGAAACCTGCGAAGGAATACAAACCTTTCACAATAAAATAAACCTGTTAGTAATTTCTGTTACCCTCTCATTAAAAAAAGGACTTTCAATTGTTTGGGATCCGGGTAAATATTTTTATTAAAAAAATAGGAGCTGGAGGCCATCCTTGAAGAGTCAAACGTGTAACCTGAACCCAGTTTACCTAAATGTGTGGCCCTCGGGGGTATTCGCCTCGATTCGCCCCAGCGGGGTCGCTCGGCCCTGCCGGAACGCCCTCTTTGTCCCCTGGCTAAGCACCCTAGTCCGTCACAGAGGCGGGGCAGGTCTCAGCGCGGTTCTCACGGGGAGGCCTGGCGACTGGCTGCGCGTCCTGCCTTTGGCGCTGGAGGGGAAGCCGGCCGGGAGCCTACTGGATCCGCGCGGGGTCAGGCCTCTCATCATCGCTGCCGGGGACGCCTCAGCTCGGGAGGGGCCCGCGGGTGCCCATGGCTTTCACGCCCCTTCAGCAGTAGCTGTCCTCGGCAGTGGCACCAGATGTGGGCCACCGGGAGGGATCAGCCACTCGGATCTCTGATCTCCTCCCTCCCGGTTCTCAACACCGCCGCCTCCACTTTCAAGGGTTCCCTCTTCCTTTAACCTCGGTCCCCAGTTCTGTCTTTTTCTTTGATGGAGGAGCAGAAGCATTTGCAAACTGTTTCTGTTCTCAGACACTAAGCAGTCCGACAACATGGAAAGGCGAGACTGGAGAATGGAATGGACTGAAGAGGCAAGAAACCAATCAATATAGATAACAGGGTAATATTAGGAATCATTGCTATCGCCCGCCAAGGACCATGTATCAATCCGTGTGTGAGATTCTATACACGCGGTTTCCACTCAACCCTTACAATACGGATATCGCTGTTGGGAGTTTTTAAGTAGCTGCCATTTTCACAGATGTCCAACATCCCGTCCAGAACTAGTTCCGTCCGCAGAAGGAGAAAGTGGCAGAGCTAGTGTGCTAGTCGGTGAGCCGTGTCTAACTCGGCGACGCTACGGCCAGGCTCCTCTGTCCGTGGGATCTCCAGGCAAGAATCCTGGAGTGGGTTGCCACGCCCTCCTCCAGGGGACCTTCCCGACTCACGGGTCCAACCCGCGTCTCCTGTGGCTCCTGCATTGCAGGTGAATTCTTCACTGCTGAGCTACTGGGGAAGCTCAGCAAGTAGCAGAATCAGAATTCTAATCCACATCAGCTTGCTTCCAAAGCCAATGCAGAGTTGAAAGGGTCATTTAAGGCCAATTAATAATTTTCTACAAACCTCAGTCACCCTTCATCCAGAATTCTTTGAGAGTGATGAACCAAATTCTGAATAGTTCCAGGACCCTGCCTTCCGAGGCATCTACTGATAGTTAATAATACAAGAAAGAATAGCGAATATTTATGTAATGCTTACAATGCGCCAGGCATATTCTAAAATCCAGAACAGGGTCCGCGGTTTTAACCACGGACTCTGAAATCACTGCATGAGTTGGAATCTTTATCCCAGGCTTGTGAGAGCTTAGGCCTCTGTGCCTCACTTAGCACCTTTGTATTTTTCATTTCTAACATGGAGAGTCATAAGATTTCCTATAATGTATGGTTACTGAGAAAATTGGAGAATGGCATGGCAACCCACTCCAGTACTCTAGCCTGGTGAACCCCATGCACAGAGGAGCCTGGTGGGCTACAGTCCATGGCGTTACGAAGAGTCAGACACTGCTGAAGCAACAGCATGCACAAACTGTGAAAATAAGATGAGATCATATATATAACTCTTGGAACAGTGACTGCACATATGAGGCATTCAGTAAATGTTAACTAGACTGTGAGTTATTCTTACTGTTGTTTACAGGGCAATGTGCTAAGCCATTCACGTATTTTTCTTGATCCTCTTAGTAATTCTGTGCTTTCTGCACTACGATTATCCTTATTTTACAGATAACACAGATGAGGCACAGAGGGGTGAGACACATTTTCTGAGGACACACGGTGGGGAGTGACTGAGCCAGAGTTCTAAGCCAGGCATGACGTCTCGGAAGCCGGCTTTCTCAGCATCAGGCACCCTGGCTTGATTGCCAGATGACATTATCAGTTCCAAAGTGTGCTGCTATGTGAAGCCAAACTCTTTATGTGAAATTTTAACCCCTTGGTCTTAGCTTTTGTTACCAATACTTTGCACACATCAGTGAACCACGAGAACGTCCTTTTTCCTTGTGTCTAAGGCTCCACGTCGCTCATTACCCACCCCAATGTTCCTGCTTCACTAACTTTACATCATGAGCCATTTGCTAAAGCTACTCTGGGGAAAAGGTGCAAAACCAATACAGGTAACTTAAGGCAAGAAGACAGATAGTTCACAATGTGTTTGACCAAAATTCTGTATAAAATTTACACAGAGCTCAAGGGGTTTTTCTTATGATGGAAAGTTAAAATAAGAGGCAATCCATTGAATCTGGGGATTTGTCCGCCAATGTTCCAAGAGAAGTCGGTTCTGTACCCTCTTGGCCCCCAGGACAGGGGCACGAAGTCCAGATTCCACTACCCAGGAAGGGACAGTGGGCTCTGGCTTGGCCGCAGAGGGTGGCACGCGCCCACAGTGCTCCGCCCTCCAGGAGCCGGCAGCTTGAGCAAAGCACTGTGCCTGTTGCAGATTTGTATCATAGCAACATGCACATTTTTAATAAATAAATGGTTCTCCAAATAACTTTATTCACTGAGGAGAGATTTCCGGATCTTGCTGCTGCATCTGAATAGCAATTGATGTTCAGTCCTTCCTGTGTTGAATCTAAAAAACCACACAAACCCCCTTCCCTCTCTGTAAATTATTCTCACAAGTGGAAAGTGCTTTGGTTTTCAGGGGATGGTAAAACACCATGTTTCAGAATTCTCTTGAGTTAGGGGAGAAGCAATGCCAGGGATGAGAGTTTGATTTAAAAGGATGAATGTCTGTTGGATGTCATTTCCGAATTCACCACTAGAGCAGTGACTTGGCTGAGGAGCTGTCCTGATTTCATTTCCAGGCATTTCACACTGTGCTCCTCTCAAGAATCTTGCAGTTTGCTCAGAAAAGGGGGTGGCGGGATGGAAAAAAGAAAAAAAAAAGTAGAACATCAAATAATTTTTACACACATAATTGCCTGAGGAATTAGGCAATTGAACCAATGAAATCAGTTCCAAGTAACCTCTGTTGAAATGTCAAGCAATTCCACTTTTATTCATCCTTCATCCCCTCCCACTTCTGCCCCCCATGGTCAATGGTGAGGGGATTTAACACAAGCCAAAGAATCCTCTTATCAAATGTCCCTAGCTGTCTGAAAAAAACTCGCCCAGCCTCTGTAGACCAGCACTTCATCCTTTAGAAAGATCGTAGCATCCCTTCCTGCTTGGCCCTAGACTAATTTCAGCTCCTCATCTCATCTGGAAGCCTCGCTCACTTCCTGTGTCCTCTTCCCCCTAGAAGTCAGGCCCCTCTTGGGGTCTCACCACACTCTGGATACTTTCCTAGCATGGAGTGTGTGCTCAGTCTCTCCATCGTGTCTCCGTGGACTGTATCCACCAGTCTCCATCTCACTCTTTGCGGCTCCGTGGACTGTATCCACCAGTCTCCTCCGTCCATGAGATTCTCCAGGCAAGACTACTGGAGTGAGTCACCATGACCTCCTCCAGGGGATCCTCCCAACCCAGGGATCAAACCCCAGTCTCCTGCATTGCAGGAGGATTACTTTACTGTCTGAGCCACCAGGGCAACCTAGCAAATTTATATTTATTCATGTGCACATCCATTTGCTTTCTAAAGTGTGAACTTCTAAAGGCAGATGCTAGGTCTTACGCTTTTTTAAAAATCCCAATTGCAAATTGTCTTTTCAAGAACTGTTTGTTGGATGGATGGATGGGTAGATGACCAAACTAAATAATAAGACCTAACAGAAATCTTGGCATCACTACCTTTAAAGCTCACTAATTAAATACTCATTAATTTGGGGGGTGATTAAGTAGAGTGAAAAAAGCAATTGGTTTTAAAGAAGAAACACTTGGGATGGTAAACAATGTTCTAAAATTAGGTTATAGTAAATGTTGTACACTTCTGAAAATAAATGAAAAATCACTGGCAAAAAAAAAAAAAAAGAAAAGTCCTGGGCTTAAATCTCGACTATATTACTTACTTGCTATTTGGTCTGATTGCTTAACTTCTGAGACCATAAACTATCTCTTTTATAAGTTGGGCCTATTAAAGCTTGACTCAAAGGATTTTTATAAAAATGAAACAAGATTATGAATAGAAAGGGTTTGGTCAAATCTAAGTGCCCAATAAATGGAAGTTATCATTATTTCTAAACCTAAGAACCTATCTATACTCTAAAATGTAAATTAAAATTTACATTAATATAAATTTAATATAAATAATATATTAATATAATATATTAATATAAATAATATATATTTAATTTTCTAAATTAAAATAATCAAAGATATCCCAGAATACACAAATGCATGCATAGACATATTTTCCTTAGCACTAAAATTCAAACCAATAGATGATTTATCATATATTCATGCATGCACACACACACACACACACACACACACACACACACAAACATATACAGTCAGGAGTATAAAATGGATATTGCTCCCTGAAAACACCAGTTTGGCCGAAGAACTCTTACTTGTTTGCACAAGTCATCTTAAGGGATAATAATAATAATAACAATATTTGTATAGAGCGTATGTTCCAGGTGCTGGATCAAGCACTTTACTACATTATGTTAGCTACTGAAATAAGAATACATTAATGTGGGTGAATGATTCTTAAGCCAATTTAACAGGCAGGGAAACAACACAGAGAAATTCAGTAATTGGTTCCAGTTCATGCAGTTAGTAAATAACGTGGTTGTCAGGCAAGTTCTTAAGGTAGCATTCACACCAAGCTGTTGTTGCTCAGCCACTAAGTTGTGTCCAGTTCTTTGCAACCCCATGACTGCAGCATGCCGCTTCCTTATCCTTCACTATCTCCCAGAGTTTTCTCAAACTCACATCCATTGAGTCGGTGATGCCATCCAACCATTTCACCCGTTCGTCCCCTTCTCCCGCCTTCAATCTTTCCCAGCATCAGGGTCTTTTCCAATGAGTCAGTTCTTCGCATCAGGTGGCCAAAGTATTGGAGCTTCAGCTTCAGCATCAGTCCTTCCAATGAATATTCAGGACTGATTTCCTTTAGGATGGACTCGTTTGATCTCCTTGCAGTCCAAGGGACTCTCAAGAGTCTTCTCCCACACCAGTTCAAAAGCATCAATTCTTTAGCGCTCAGCCTTCTTTATGGCCCAGCTCTCACATCTGTACACGACTGCTGGAAAAACCATAGCTTTGACTACACAGATGTTTATCAGCAAAGTGGTATCTCTGCTTTTTGATATGCTGTCTAGGTTTGTCACAGATTTTCTTCCAAGGAGCAAGTGTTCTTTTAATTTCATGGCTGCAGTCACTGACTGCTACCAAGTTATGATACAAAGTTACCTCATTGTGAAACAGATGACTGGCAGGAACTAGCCCATGTTCTCAGATCAGAATACACCCAATCTTATCAAGCTAAACATCATGCAAAGGACTTACAGAAATGTGTGCAAGTCCAAAATACATGTGGTAGTTGGATCAGAAAGCTTCAGATTCTCACCCCATGAATGCTGTTCCTTGACTGTATCTTCTGGGACGTCAAGGTGCAAGACCTTCAGGCATGATGGGTGGCAGGCAGGGGTCCTCAGTGTAGATACCCAGGGAGCCACTTGGATTTGGAGCTCGAAATACTATGTGTGTGATTTGTCTTTGAAGCCATAGCTGGGACATGTAAACTTTCTGGAAGTTCCCTCAGCTATGCAATCACATCAGCTGGTATTTAAGCCCTCCCCCTTATTCTGGTTGATCTGCATACCTGCTCTTTATTACAGAGAAAGACGGAGTCATCACACAAAATGAAACATACATATACATATTCCCAGTTGTTTTATCTATGGAAGAGGAGTAGTATAAGTGAATAGCAAATCCCCAAATCAAGCATCTTTCACCTACATAGTGTATTTTCCAGGAGAGAAGATTTATATCAAAGTGGAAAAAAATCCCTTTTAAGTAAAAAGCCCAACCGTAGTGGTGACAGCATTCTAGTATTGTGCATTATGTCTAAGATGTGGAGAAAGGCTACTGTAGGATGCCAGAACTAGTAGTTCTTTTATTTACCTATTTACATTTGGAAAAATATTTAATTTATTTGGCCATGCCGGGTCTTTGTGGTGGCACGCAGGATCTTCACTGCAGCGCATGGGATCTTTAGTTGCAGCATATGAACTCTTAGTTGCAACATGTGGGATCTGGTTCCCTGACCAGGAATCAAACCTGGGCCCCCTACATTGGGCGTGAGCCATCTTAGTCACTGGAACATTAGGGAAGTCCCAGGAAGCTCTTTTAGCCAGGACTGGTAGTGCTAATGGTAAAGAGTTGGATTGCCAGTGTTGTAAGAGACACAGGTGTGGTCTCTGGTTTGGGAAGATGCCCTGGAGAAGGAAGTAGCAACCCACTCCAGTACTGTCATCTGGAAAATTCCACGGACAGAGGAGCCTGGTTGGCTGCAGTCCAAGGGGTCACAAAGAGTCAGACAGACTGAGCACACAGCCAGTCAGTCTTAATGCATGACAGAATCACCGAGAGAGCTGGAAAAGCAAAGACACTGCCTCTGCCGCTCTCTCAGCCACAGGCCAGGCGCTTTCCTGGTGATTCTGGTGGGGGTGGCCGGGGTACCATACTTGGACAAACAGTGCTCAAGGGCATCTTCAGTTGTTTAACTGTTGATACTCTTTGTTTCAAATGCTTTAAAGCCTGTAAAGAATTACAGACCTGATCTCTTGACCCTTATGTCATTAGATCCCAAGATGTGCAGTTACTTTTGTACAGAAAATCAGAAGGCAAATGTGGCCTTGTGGATTTTTCTCCCACAGTTAAGATGCCCCTCCCCTGTCATCCATTTCACCTTCATTGGTTGGAGCCCTTTTCTACAGACAGTTCAGTTCAGTTCAGTTACTCAGTCGTGTCCAACTCTTTGCGACACCATGGACTCCAGCACACCAGGCCTCCCTGTCCATCACCACCTCCCAGAGTTTACTCAGACTCATGTCCATTGAGTCTGTGATGCCATCCAACCATCTCATCCTCTGTCGTCCCCTTTCCCTCCTGCCTTCAATCTTTCCCAGCATCAGGGTCTTTTCCAATGAGTCAGTTCTTCACACCAGGTGGCCAAAGACAGTAGAAGCAGAGAAAGCCCTTGCCCAGAAGCCCAGGGTTTTATGCTTGCCAACTGCTGAAAAAGAATTCATTAGAATTTTGTCTGGATAGATGCCCAGGAGTGGGACTCGAAATAATGCCGTTTGTAGCAACGTGGATGGACCTAGACATGATCAAACTAAGTGAATTAAGTCAGGCAGAGAAAGACAAGTACCGCAGGATATAACTTATATGTGGGATCCAAAATGTGACATGAATGAATGTGTCCATGAGACAGAAACAGACTCACAAATGCAGAGAACAGATGTGGTTGCTGGGGAGGCGGGCGGACGAGGGCTGGACTGGGAGTTTGGGATTAGCAGGTGCGAAGTATTATATATAGAAAAACAACACGGTCTTATGGTATAGCACAGGGAAGTATACTCAGTATCCTATGATAAGCCATAACGGAAAGGAATATGGAAGAGAATAAACACATATAACTGAACCACTCTGCTGTGCAGCAGAAATTAATATAACATTGTAAATTAATAATACTGCAGCTCAAAACATAAATAAATATTAACTTTAAAAAAGAATTCACTAATTCAGCAGGGCCTCTCCTTGGTGCTGAGTAACTGATGGCCCTCTAACATCAGTCTTGTCATTGTAGTAACGCAACTACAACACAATGAAGACTAAACAAAAGCAATGTGTGATCTGAATACAGCTGGTACCGCCAAGAACAGTGGAAGGGTTGATGGCAGGGCGTAGACATTGCACTTTGATCTGCACGTCTTAGATCCCTGTGCTGTAAAAGGAAAGATGGTGAACAGACAGTGAAGAGCTCTGAATTCGAAATAAGCCGAGTCATCAGCACCATCACACCATCACTGCAATCACAGTCAACGCTACTGTTTCTCAGCCAGTGTGGTGAACAACTGCCTCCTTCACCTGTGCTGCGAACAATGATCTATTCTTTAGCCAGCTTCTATGAAGATTTGTTAGTCTACGGAAGAGTCTGATTAAAATTTTTGTTCTTGTTCTGAGTATTGTCTCCAAACCTCACTTACTGTTTATCCTGGGGCAGCTGCTCTGACTCTCTGGTCTTATTTATTTTATATTTGTTACATGTGGAAAGTAACATTTTACCCCTGTGATCATTGATCAGATGGAATTTTTTTAAAGCAAAGGAGTGTGGTCCAGAGACTGAGTGTGTTTTAGTTCCATTCCCCTGACTTATCTGACACGGCAGAGGGTACGTAGCAACTGCCCACTAATAAAGAATGCATGAATGGGAGCACGGCGGGTGGAAGAGCAGTCAACTCGAAAACATGATCAAACTTGATTTACAAGGTAAAATACCAATTATTCTTTAGTAGAGTCCCACAAAAAGCAACATGTTTTATTTAATAAAGTACTATATCAAAAATTTTATTATTGGAAGAGTCCTTATATGTCAACGATATCAACCCATTCATATTATAAACTGGATAAAGGAGAGTCAAAAATAAACTCTCCATACAATTTACCAACCCAGCCGGGACATCTTTTGTGCTTGAAATGGGGCACTAGTGACGATGTCATCAGCACAACAGGTGCCAGCTGGAAGTGTTCCAGGCTGATGAGGACTACTCATCAGCTCGCCTAAGACAACCCACGAGGTGCCGACTGATGTCAGTCACCTTTTTCCCTCAGTTCAGCATTCTTCTCTGACCATCCCGGTCTCTCTTGATGTGGTCATGTGTGCTCAGTCACTCAGCTGTGTCCCGACTCTTTGCGACCCCATGGACTGCGGCCCCAGGCTCCGCTGCCCCTGGGATTCTCCAGGCAAGAATACAGGGGTGGGTGGCCATGCTCAACCCAGGGATTGAATCCATGTCCCCTACAATGGCAGGCGGGTCCTCTACCGCTGAGCCATGGGAGAAGCCTCTTTAATGCATCGCTTTTATGTTATTGATCAAATAGCACTTTAAAGAATTATTCAAACCATTCAGGGCTTCCCAGGAAGCCGTCCTGAAGCTCGCCCTGAGCCTTCTCTCCGGCTCTGTCCTGCTTCCTTCATTCCTTTTCTCCCACGAGCACCCCTCGGAGAAATCAGCTCTCGGGAGGCTCCCATTTCAGCCTCTGCTTCTGGGAGACCCAGTCAAAGACCACAGGACCGGCCGTGGACAAGGGGCAGAATGTTCGAGAATAAAAGAAACAAGCTGGGGAAAAGATGGCTTGGGAGACCCTGTTCTGCTTGCCTGCACCTCAGACCGATCAAGGCGGAAGCCTTCGCGGTGCTGGCTGGACCCAGCCTGGAAATAACCCGTGGAAGGTGCGGCGCAGGCTGAGAGCGCCAGTCCCCGGGAGGCGTGAGCCGAGGCCGAAGGGGCTGACCTGTCTCCGTCCAGCAGGCCATCTTGGTAGACGTGCCTGTTCAGATGAGGTCCTAAATCCAGGGTGACCGGCGTCCTCGGCCCTCCAGGATAGAGGTGACGCGGCGGCGCCCAGGGAGACCCCGGGGAAACAGGCAGAGGCGGCTGTGCGCTGTGCGCGCTCGCGGCCGGAGGGCCACCTCAGGCAGCCGGGAGGCGGCTGGGGCGAGCGTGCCTCGGGGCTGCAGGAGAAAGGCGCCCAGTCAGCGCCTCGGCTTTGGACCTCTAGATTCCAGAACGGAGAGAATGGGTTTCTGCTGGGTTTGGGTTTTTTAATTGTATTAGAGCATGGTTGTTTTACAATGGTGTGTGAGTTTCTGCTGGACAGCGAAGTGAATCAGCTGTTTGTTCACACGTATCGGCTCTTTTTTTGGATTTCCTTTCCATTTCCACCGCAGAACACTGAGTGAACGTCTGCTGTTTTTAAACCATCAAAGTTTATGGTCATTTGTTGGGATAGCCATAGGAACGAATATGTCTAACTACACAATGGCACTAAATCAGTATCCATTCAAGTTCAACCTCTCAGTCCGTCCGACTCTGAGACCCCACGGAGGGCAGCACGCCAGGCCTCCTTGTCCATCACCAACTCCCGGATCTTACTCAAACTCATGTCCATCGCGTCGGTGATGCTATCCAACCATCTCATCCTCTGTCGTCCCCTTCTCCTCCCACCTTCAATCTTTCCCAGCATCAGGGTCTATTCCAAAGAGTCAGTTCTTTGCATCAGGTGGCCAAAGTATTGGAGTTTCAGCTTCAGCATCAGTGAGTATAACCTGGGTTTTCGTTCATAAATCTGGCAGGACCATCTCTGTACTAGAGGTTGCTGGCAAACTTGTCTGGCCTCCTCCACGTCTCACCTAACTTAACCCAGAGAAAAAAACTGGGCAAAAGAGGCATTGTTTTGTTCTGCCCTCTAAGGTGTTCTGCTTCCATGGAGTCCTGCATCTTTAGCTAAATACACCACAAATGTGCAGAGGGGATGTTTGCGTAGTCTTTCCCATCACAACCCAACCCACCTGAAACACTCTGACACTCTCGAAAATAATTTGGATGAATGAATAAAACATGATCAACTAATAATTAGCACTTGAAGGTGAACTCTTTCTCAGGAGGGTAATTCACTGCTGTGCTAATTGTTTTCCCCAGTATCAGCCCTTAGCTGACATTTGGTTTTAACTTCAGCATAACAATTCCCAGCTATGTTTAGAAGGACTATGAGCAGTTTCCTAGGACTTGGCCAGAAATTATTCACAATGCCTGGATTACACACTTTGAAAAATGTGAAGTTGTATGTTAGTCAAGATTCCAAATCTAGCTTTGGCTCAGGCTCCTAGCTTGGAATACTCAACAGAAACTTATGATCAGCCATGGCACTCCATTTCTAAGCAAAACAACATGAAGGAGACATTTGCTGTTAGATAATCAGCAATTTAAAAATCACGGATGTGAATTAGCATCAATGTGTCAGTTTATTGCCCAGCCCGGTAATAAGGATAGATATTTTGCATGGTATGGCTAATTCTATGGGAAATATATTCCGAAATATGGGAATGAGCAGAGGTTATTTTGAACATTAATAATAAAAATCTTTTGTGTGGATATTTTTCAAATAATCTGGCAGCTTCCAGGTATTTTGGAAAAGTTGTATGTGGCTCCTCTCCACCCCTCCCCACCCCCCCCCCAAAAAAACCCAAACTTATGTCCAGAAACATTATTATTTCGGAATTTTTCATCATGTTTAACTTAAAGAAACAAAGAAAGAAGAAATGTTTTTTTCCTTCGTGTGTAAGATACTTGGTGTTTGTTTCTGAAATCCAATTTCTGCTCTTAGCTGAAGCCAGACTCTCCTAAAGGAAAGTGCAAAGAACATGACAGAATCCCTTTTTGAATAAAGTTACCAGCGCCTGAATCAAACAGCTCCTGTGTCTCAACTCCAAGAAACCCACACACACTCCACTGCTTAATTTCTCACAAGTTATATTCTGGTGAAGGGAAACTTGACTGAAATAGATGGCAAAACAAGGTTCCCCAGGAAGCTGCCTATCCAAAACAAGAATCAAAAGCATTTGCAAGGTGAATCTAGGAGCAACGATTGGACGGGGGTGAAGGCACGGGGGTGCATGAGGCCCCGAAGAGCAGCTGCAGAAGAGCCTGGGAGCGCTGCGGGCCAGGAAGCCCTTCGGGCCTTGCGAGGCCAGCGACAGCAGCGGCCTGGCAGGAAGCAACGCGCACATCACAGCAGACTGCAACGCCCTCATTCCCCAGAGGGGGAGGCAGTTCAGTTAGCAGCCAGCGGTTGCCTGATAGGAATGCGGATGGCTCAGGAAAGAATTCTCATGAAATGCAGGAGAACCCGGTTCGATCCCTGCTTTGGGAAGATGCCCTGGAAACGGAAATGGCAACCCACTCCAGTGTTCTCGCTTGGAAAACCCCACGAACTGGGGAGCCTGGTGGGATACAGCCCATAGGGTCACAAACTTGGACACAACTTGGCAACTAAACAACAGCAACTAGGGCTCTTAGGTTTTTCTGATTTTTCAGAGAAACTGGAATTTCTAACTTCAAAGGAAACCCTCTTCTTAAAAAAAAATATTTGGGAGCTAATTAAAATTTGTTTAGGCACTGTTCAGGCAAAATAAGCAAACAAGCAAAAAAGACCTTTTATGTCCTATGGAAACAAGGAACATTATCCTGCAACATCTTGTCTGAAGTGAAATTTTATTTCAGCAAGGGCCAACCACTAGGTTTTAAAGTTATAAATAAAATGATTGCTCTGCCTAACACTTAATTGAAATGTACTAAATGATTAAAGATGAGGAATTGGTGTCTTTCTAACAAGAGAGAAAGAAGGACCATGGAACAGTGTCCTTCAGAGATGAATAAACACATAACATTTTACTTTTTTCCCCCATCAAAAAGCACATTTCTTTTGAGAAACATCACGAAATACATGTCCTGTGAGTCACTAAATGTCTTAGTTGACACTTGGAACAATTGTGTTATATAGTTTTTCTGTACTTTTTGGAATTGTAAGATGTTGCAAACACGTAGAGTAGAACATGCAGTCTACAAACTTGTTTGTTCTCAAAAGCCTTAAAGCTCCAACTAGGAATAAAAATGTGTCTTAAATTGGATACATTGCCTATGGGTTATTTATGGATGAGAGAATAATATGCAACCATGTTTATATCATGAACGAAGTGAATAATAAAGACCTAAATAAACCAATCTCCTGAAATCAGCAGTAATGTCTGTTTACTTGGACAATTTTGAAATTGTCAGAGACAGAGGACAGGACCTACCAATGTTTCTAGAACTGCTGAAGGAACCAGGGAGTCTTCATCACATAAAAACGCCATTAGTATCTTTTATTTAAAATTGAAATAGAAAAGTTCTTTTTAAAGAATTCCTGATTTTTTAAAAAAGAGGTTAATTTGTTCACTTTGACTTAGTATAGGACCAGAGTTAGGATAGAATGTGTTATATTTTACATTTGAGTCAATAAAATGGATTCAATTCATACTGTGGAAATAGTTGGCATAGAGGGGATTTTTATTCCAGGACTTAAAACAGAAGAATGGCATGATGCAAATGATGTGAACTATTCAGATTGTTCTTATTATTTTGAATTTAGGACCTTACTGGCACACCAGGGGACACTGTTTGGGTCAGCAGTGAAAAGAAGTAATATCAACAATGCGAAGAGTCATCACACAGCTATCAAAATGTGAAACATGGAAAAATTCCATCTCAACTGCCCAAGTCCACCTGGGGACATCCAGAACCTTTGATGAAAGGTTATTCAGTGTGATTTGGCAAGATGAAAAGAGCAAAGCTGTTCACCGCACAGGCGGGCTGAGGATGCGGCACAGGTCTGCAGCCTGAGCGCTCGGATCCGGCAGCTCCGCCGTGTCCCCTCGGATCCCACAGCTCCGCCGTGTCCCCTCGGATCCCGCAGCTCCGCCCTGTCCCCTCGGATCCCGCAGCTCCGCCGTGTTCCCACCAGAGCGGCTGGAGCGGTCCCTAACCCAGGAGGCGTCAGTGTGGCTGAGTGATGGGTCAGAGACCCCCGTCTGTGTGCCTAGCATGCAATTTCTCTAACCCTTGGTTCCATTCTTTTATTTTTTTCCCATTTCTTCATAAAAATCAAGCTAATCATGTTCACTATACAGCTTTAGTATTTCTGGTGATGCTCTTTTGAATATGAGGTATTATTGTTATCAGGTAAAATCTTATGAAACCTTTTGCAAGGCAGCTGATACTGGACAAAGCCATGCTTGTATTCTCTAAGCTCTGAGAATATAAGAGGACAAAAATCACATACTTTTCCCCCTTAAGTAGTTCCCTCTGCCCTCGGTTACACAAATGTAGGACAAACCATAATCTATTTTTTAAAATTTGAAAATACTGTTCAAATGTTTAGAATGCTAACACCAGAGTTTCCCATTAGAAGTCGGGTTGTCAAAAACAAACACAGCCTTCATTTGAGGCTCACTAAATGCTTGTGGATTAGGCTATTTTTAGATCTTGAGACTAAGTCTCAAATTGGCTTCTGTCAGTAAATATCTGGGGTCATCACTCAATTCATTTGATAGGATCTGTCCGGTAGCTCTGTTGTTAAGAATCATACCATTTAAAAATAGTCACACTAGGAATGATACTCAATATTTCTTTTTATGTTTCGGTTTTCTGGCCCCAGAGTGTGTGAGATCTTAGCTCCTGACCAGGGGTTGAACTTGGTCCCCTGAACTGGAAGGCGAAGTCTTAACCACTGGACTGCTTCAAGGTTTTGTGATAACCTATAATGGAAAAGACTCTGAAAAAAATATGTAAGCATGCATAACTCAATCACATTACTGTACATCTGAAACAAACAGAATGTTGTAAATCAACTAAACTTGAAAAAAATTAAAAAATAGAAATAACCAAATGTCCAGGTTTTGTTACAGTTGAATATCTCATCATATGTTGGCTAAATACTATATTTTCCTACTATTATGTAAAAAAAAAAAAACTGTAGTTGAGCTGACATGATTTAAACTGATAAAAGAAATGAAAAAAAAAATTAGACTAATAAATTTCCCAAGGAAAGCGATGTTCTTAGCATATAGCTTCATGTGTGTATAAGGCAGTATTTCTTGAAACAATCCATCAAGTTTCTTCTTTTTTTTCAGGACAAAATTGTGTGTCTAATATAGCTGTATATGATGTTTTGGAATCAGATCAGTTCCATATGCAGGAATATGAAACCTGTAATTAAAAGGTTCTTTTTTTTAAAAAAAATTATTGAAATTTAGAGGAGTTAGACTCAGGTTTGGAACCAATTTTGAGAGGCAAATGACTTGCTTTTACTATATTCAGCCTTTTTAAAAGCACATCTCTATAAAGTAATTCCATTATTACTCTTGTTTCTTCCAGAAGGGAATCATTAAAATAATGAGCTGGCTCTGTCTCCCCAGAGACGGTTTGTGCTGAAACTGGAAACCACACTCAGCGTTCTGTGACGGTCAGTCTTATGTCCTGACCCTTTGACCACAAGGCTTTTCCCCAGTACCCAACGCTTCCACACATGTTTCCATAATCCCCTTAAAAAACAGACGGCGTACCATGAAATTCTTCTTGACCAGTTCATGAAAACTAAACTTTCTAGAATTTCAAGGTCTTTTCTCCATCTAGTAGTAATAGCTCACAGTCAACAAGAGACAGAAGGCATTTGGGGGAAGATCTCTACCCAGGATTAGCCACCTCTAGCCCTAGCGTTGTGTGTTGGAATTATAAGGTAATGTATTTTATTTTATGGGAATATAATTACTTCACAATGCTGTGCTAGCTTCTGTTGTAGAATGAAGCCAATCAGCCATCCGCATGCACACATCCCTCCCTCTGAGACCTTCCTCCTGTGGCACCCCTCATTATCCCCTCCCCAGGCCATCAGAGCGCCGGGATGATGACATATTTTAAACTGAATTGACAAATATCCAAGGATACACATATTGCTATCTGTGGCCAAGAAAATTCTATGTATTCTCACCATGGCTTCAAAACTCTGTGAAACTCTATAACATTGTTTCTCAATGGATTCATGTCTCACTAAGTTTGGACAAATAGCAGAGTGGCTTAAAAAAAAATGTTTTTCCTGGAAAAAATGTAATCTGGGCCTCCAACAAAGGATTCTCTCTTTGCCAGTTTTCTTTAGGCTTGTTTTACCTTGTTCTGCATACTACCTGGATTGGAAGAAGATTGGGTAAGAGTTCAATCCCTATGGTCAAAATGAGTAGACTGTATGCAATGATACAGTTGCATGACCCAACTCAAACTGCCAGCAAAGAGCCTTGCTAGAGAGCATGCTGCTGCTGCTGCTGCTGCTAAGTCGCTTCAGTCGTGTCTGACTCTGTGCGACCCCACAGAGGGCAGCCCACCAGTCTCCCCCGTCCCTGGGATTCTCCAGGCAGGAACACTGGAGTGGGTTGCCATAGCACCTTGATATTACAGCTGCTTGTCAACCTCCCCAATGCCCTAAAGTTAAGACTAAATTAGAGCTCCTCTTCTGAAAGTAAAATCAACCTAATCATTTGAAAAGTGGTAGCAGGTAAAAGAGGTATTGAGGCTTACATTTAAAAATGATGCATGTATCTCTCTGTCCATACAGGCTTAGATTTAGATGGAGTGACTTACAACCTGGCAACCGCACAAGTCCTTATGCTTAGTTATAACATCGCACACAAATCATTTCAGCTCTACTTTTTGGAAATTACTTTTAGAGGTGACTTGTCAGTCGTGAAGAGAATAACCCCGTTTTCTATTGCCCCTATTCTCAACTTGGTCACTGGTGTTAATCATCAAATTTGAGTTTAAATTTTGGCAGTCTCTAGAGACAACCGTCTGGGAAGAATGACTTCCATCACTGAGAAGCGGGGAAAGACGTTCAGATTGAAGGCAGTTCTCGGTTCTGTCACGTCTGTGCCTTGATAACATAAACTCCATGACTCTTGGCAACCTACTTGGGCTTTTGATCAAGCAGCACAGAGGAAGTTTTCCCAGTACAGAACCTGTCTTCCATCACCATTCATAATTCTGGTAAGCTATAAACCCATTTCTGGAAGTAACGACCTTGTAGACCACGTGAGGAAGATAAAGCATCATACCCGTCTTTTCCTGGAAGCTCCGATACCCCTCTCAGCACAAGTAGGCAATGCAGACTTAACCAAAGACACGATCTACTTCGCTTCCTGATAGTAACCACTCTCATGACTGAGGATACTGTGAAAAGACCAGAGAGGATGCTCTGGAAATACATTGGCTATTTTAATGAAAAACAACAGCTACCATTTTGTAAAACATTCACTGTCAGGAGTCAGTCCAAAAAATTCTTGCTATGTCAATAACAAGAGGGCACAACTGATATCCTTTGTTGGTGGAGGAAGTGGTCTAAATAAGGTGGCTCTTCCCTAAAACACAGGCAAACTCAGGACAGGATTGGGGGTGGCTCAGAGGGGACCCCTTCGTGGTGAAGGGAGACAGCACAGCCAGGAGAACAAGGATGAGGCAAGTGAGTATCTGTGGCTGCCTTTGCAGGCACACTGCCAGTTTTCTATTGCTGTTACTGGGACTGGTTCATTCATACTTTTTTATGCTTTAGACTGAGACAACAGACGCAGTATGTCCTAAATGACTTTGGCATGAATCTAGTGATTAGCAAGTACTCTAATAGTTGTCAGGACTTCCCTCGTGGCTCAGATGGTAAAGTGTCTGCCTACCATGTGGGAGACCCAGGTTCGATCCCTGGGTTGGGAAGATCCTCTAGAGAAGGAAACGGCAACCCACTCCAGTGTTCTTGCCTGGAGAGTCCCATAGACGGAGGAGCCTGGTGGGCTACAGTCCATGAGGTTGCAAAGGGTGGGACACGACTGAGCGACTAAACTTTCTTTCTTTCAATAGTTGTCAGTGAGTCTACATTCTGATTAGTCAGACGAATGGAACTCCTGTGTGATGTATCCTCAGGAAAGAAAGGAATACAGAAAACTTTTCTGAGCAAATGCAAATATTTGAGTAGCTGTATGGTATGGTTCACTATAAGAAAGCAGTGAGGATGAGAAAGGTGTCTTTTTGAATGCACGTATTTAACCAGTTCGGTCTCTACTCACTCTCACTCACATTGCTGATGGAGAAATGAATGCCAAAGCATTTGTTGACTATTGAAATGTTACCTGTTAGGCAGAAACAAAGTGCACGATAAGCCCTGAATTCTTTCGGGCTCCTGGTTTTCCTCATTCCTAGGGGCTTCCTTGGTGGTCTAGTGGTTAAGAATCTGCCTTGCAATGCGGGAGACCTGGGTTCAATCTCTGGGTTGGGAAGATCCCCTGAAGAAGGGAAAGGCTCCCCACTCCAGTGTTCTGGCCTGGAGAATTCCCTGGACTGGATAGTCCATGGGGTCGCAGCGTCAGACATGACAGAACGACTTTCACTTGCAATGCAAGGGATGCTGGTTCAATCCCTGGTCCAGGAAGATCCCACGTGCCACGGGGCAACAAGCTTGACTTCTTTCAGGCTCCCTGTGTTTCCCTCACTCCTGCACGAATGCTCTCCTGTGCTGTGCTGTGAAGTCGCTCAGTCGTGTCTGACTCTTTGCCACTCCATGGACTGCAGCCCGCCAGGCTCCTCTGTCCATGGGATGCTCCAGGCAGGAACACTGCAGTGGGTTGCCATGCCCTCCTCCAGGGGACCTTCCCGACCCAGGGATCAAACCCGCATCTCCTCTAACTTCTGCAGTGGCAGGCGCGTTCTTTACCACTAGAGCCACCTGTGTACAGAGAGTGACTAATCCAATGCCATCCACGCTAATGTACAAGAAGGTGGTTCCACAGGTCAACTGAGATTTGAAGGAAGTTTTCTCTCTAAACCATTCAAGTCATTTTTTAAGCTTTTTGATCTGATTTCTTCAAGAAAGTTGAAATATTCCATGGTGTGGAGACAAAGATATTAATCTAAAGTATTAATGGTAAGTGAAACTTGCTGCTCATAACCACCATGTAATGGTTTTGTCCCTTGGAAACATATGTGAGCACATCCACAATAAACACAGAATAATCCTGGTTTTAAGCCTTTTCATTTTTATTCCTTTGTGTTATGATTTCCTGTCCTTTTAATTTCCAAGTAAGTATAAACGTTCTCTTGGCTAAACAGCTCCTTGGCAACAAAATATGTAGCACCTTTCAAAAAAACCAAATTATATTTCTAATAATGGCAATGAATTATTGCAAGTGAAGAACAGAAACCCAAGAGGACCTGAAGACTGCAGTCCTCTGGGATGAGGTAGTGATATTAATGGCCAAAAGTCAATAGTGTTTGTTATGTGTATAGAACGACCACTCTTCAAAGTTCAGGACCAGGGAGGGGAGTGATTTGTCACTTGTAATCACCTGTTTTCTCAGAAGAGAAATATACTGCCTTCCCCACGACTGTTTCCATTTGCCTGGGTAATCTGGATGAGGCACAACAATGCTTTTTCCAGAAGCATTTGGCTCTTGCAATGCATTTATATTTGTTTGAAATGAGGTCAGAGACGCCTCGTCTATCACTCCCTTGCCCATGGGTATGTGGCGTGAGAGGGGACATAAGACTGAAGTCGGAGCCCCCTTGGGATGTTCAGAGCACCACTGCTGACCAATCTGAATTATTGATCTGTATTCATGAAAAGAATTTCCCTCAGGGAAAGGATAGAACTTGATAGCAGCTTGAACCATGATAGATACGGATCTGGTGTTGATAAATACATGGCATGTGGGGAATCAATTCACAGAGAATCCAGCGTTAAGTTCTACGGTTAGGCTTCATCCTTTATTAGGTAGTGAGTAAAGACAACGGATGATTACAACTCCAACTTTAAAGACCATTTAAACAAAAATGGTTCCATAGTGAAGTGAGGCTGAAGGGATTTAGGTGTTTCTGAGGTTTCTCATATGGCTGATGGAGAAGATATGGCTGATTCATTTGTCTCCCAGCAAATCAAGAAAGTTAGTCACGTCTCGTGATCCAGGGCCCCTCGATCGCATGGGCCCTGACTCCAGGGGGACCGGCTCCCCCACTTCGGTGAGAACGGGGCAGGACAGCGGGGGTCACCGCAGCAAGACTGGACCAATCACTCTGCGTTCCCCAGCAGGAGAGGCTCTAAGAGGCGCGAATGCTGCTGGAGGGGGATTCGGGCTGACGGCGTGAACAGTGAAAATATCTGACAAAGCAGAATCTAAAGGTCAAGACTGTCCAAAACTGGTCGCACAAGACACGGGCAGACCCAGAGAGCAAAACACATGAGCTAACTCTCTACCTGGCTGGACAGGGGGGTCTGAGGGTGGAACAAAGGGAATGCTCGCTAAGACCAGAAAGCAGAGGTGCTGGCAAACGCATTATCACCAGACGCTCTCAAAACAGACTCCAGTCCTAGTCAACATGTTCAGGCAGAAGTGATATGGTTCGAAATACCTTTTACCAAAGGCTGATGGAGCATTGTCTCTTTTCTCCTTTCCCTTTCTGTCCTTCCTTCCCTCCTTTCTTTCTATTTGCTTTTGGTCGGTTGTTTAACAAAAGATATATAAAGTCAACTGCTTTAAAGATGTGTTTACATGACAAATGTCTTCAGCTGGGTGGCAGAGAAGAACTCCAAAGACCATGTTTAATGTTGAGCACCAAGGACGCTACGGGTGTTTCTTAAATACAAAATGACAAATGCTGAATACCCATCTCTCTAATGGTTTCACTTTGCATCTTCAGACCTCTCAAAAGTCTACTACATTTTAGATAAGAGCAATTCCAGGAAGGCCATACCCAGCCTTTCTGTATATTTTTAAATAGTTCTCTACAAAACCTTTTCAAAAATATTTTTTTTTCTCTAAACCTAAATCTGGTAGAGTGGATTTGTACATGTTTCCATTGTTTGAAGTTTGAGTGTCATTATTCTTATTAATGCAACAGAGCGGCTGCATCAAACCCCACCATAGGTGACAGGTATATGTTAGCTTTCTATGGGAAAAAGCAAATAGCCTTTACCACAAATTAAAGGCACAGCTATTTTTATGCCATTTGTTACCAACTTAATGATAACATGTAACACGGGATGGATATATAATTATTTTATATAGATTTTCTTTTTATAACTTATACTCTTAATCTTTCTAACATATATACAATATACATATATTTATATATACCCCTGATAAATCTTGTTTTAAAGGTAAAACATCAACTCCTTTTAGCCTTATGGTGAATATTGAAGGCTGTTAGTATTTCACAATTCCACTAGAGAAATGATGGCCAAGTGCAACTTAACAGTATTTTTTAACTCTATACCCCTGGTCTGAAATGAATGCAGATTCATTTTTCTTTGTTTTTTTCCTAATATTTAAATATATATATATTACTTGTTTATATCATGTCAGTAGGAAATTAAAAAAAAAACCCAACAGCAACAGCTAATATCTACCATCATAGTCAAAGCAGAAAACTTTGCCTAAGAGACAGCCCTACTGGTATGATATAAAGGGGATATTGCAGAGGTGTAATATTCTTTGTTTTTAGTGGATATGCACTAACATGAGAAATCTGTAGTTTGCATTATCATGCTAGGTTAGGATTGTCCCTCGTCCTCCAAACGGAATAGTTGTACTGGTTTCTTTCTGGACCCCCATGATGCACGGGTTTACCTGTTTTCGGATACAAGCACTTGAAAAACACTTCCTGTTTCCAGCAACAATGCCTTAGTGTGGGGGAAAGCACTCTGTAAGAAGCTCTTTTTATTAAAGTCTCTCCCTCCTCTATTCTGAGTCAGCCCTATTCTTCTGCTCTGGACTGAAAGTCCTCTCCCCACGGTGGGCAGGACGGGAGAGGGTGGGCTGGGGACCTTTACCACGGCAGATGGTGTCGTTTATCTTCTGACTGCTTACCGGCAGGAAACAGTCGTTCATTCTACCTTTCGCAATTCTTGAGAACCTAGTGGCGTAGACTGAGACACAGCACTATTGTTTTACAAGACGTCTACTGTATCTACCTCAGTTGGGACGAACACCCAGGAATTGCTGTCAGAGCAAGAGGACCACGGGTACTACTATTCACAGTGTTGCTTTTGCTTTTTGTGTTTTTTTTTCTTTTTCTTTTTTTGCATTATTTTAATCTACAGAGTAAATGATTATTTATATACACACTGGAACCAGTTAATGCCCTCAGACAATGTAGAGTTGTCTCATAAAGCAGGAAAGACAATGCAGGGGAACAGGTGCCCAAAAGGCGTGTCACAAAGGCTTCAGAGGTTCTAGGTACCACTACAAGTCAAGGCTGGAGATCACTTCTAAAACACTCAATGTTCAAGAGGAATGCTTTAATTTGGAGACAATACCACCCCTCCCGCCCGCCCCCAGACCTCCCTCTTTTTACTTCATCTTTTCTTTTTAATAATCCTTTCAGTTCACTATCAAAAGTCCTGGCTCTTCAGATGCACTTTAAACTATAAATAACGCTGCATAGTTCTCTTTCCGGCGTGCGGCTTGTGAGTTATTGCAGTCCGCCCGCGCTCAGTAGGGCGCGAAGAGCACCGGCGCGTGCGCGCTGCGCATGGGCCCCGGCGCCGGCCGCAGCAGCGCGGGGGGCAGCGCGGGCAGCAGCGCGGGGGGCGCGGCCCGCAGCCCGAACGGCGAGCTCACCGCCACGGCGGCCGCGGCGGCGGCCAGCGGCCCGGGCAGCAGGCGCGGCGCCAGCGGCTTGGACGGCTCCTTGGAGAAGACCAGCTTCACCTGCGGGGGAGGGAGAAAGAAGAGCAGGTGAGCGAAGTCTGCCCTGAGCGTCCAGAAGAGGGGCTGGCTCCTAAAGCAGAGCGGGCGTCCCCCACCCGGGTCAAGGCACACCCCGGGAGCCGCCGCAGAGCCTTGGGAGACGGGGACGCACGCCCGGAGTCCGGGATCAGCCTGATGGAACAGAACGTGAAAAGGAAGAGGCACATTCAGAGCATCTGTGGAGAAAGCCTGAGCATGCTTCCCAGTCGACCCAATGTATATATTATATACATGGACAGAGCATCTTACGGAAAGCCTGAACACGCTTCTAGCCAACCCAATGTATATATTATATACATGTACAGAGCATCTTACGGAAAGCCTGAACACGCTTCTTAGCCAATCCAGTGTATATATTATATACATGGACAGAGCATCTTACGGAAAGCCTGAACACGCTTCCCAGTCAACCCAATGTATATATTATATACATGGACAGAGCATCTTACGGAAAGCCTGAACACGCTTCTTAGCCAATCCAGTGTATATATTATATATATATATATATATATATACACACACACACACACACACAGCATCTTATGGAAAGCCTGAACAAGCTTCTAGCCAACCCAATGTATATATTATATACATGTACTGAGCATCTTACGGAAAGCCTGAACACGCTTCTTAGCCAATCCAGTGTATATATTATATACATGGACAGAGCATCTTACGGAAAGCCTGAACACGCTTCTAGCCAACCCAATGTATATATTATATACATGTACAGAGCATCTTACGGAAAGCCTGAACACGCTTCCCAGTCAACCCAATGTATATATTATATACATGGACAGAGCATCTTACGGAAAGCCTGAACACGCTTCTTAGCCAATCCAGTGTATATATTATATATATAATATATATACACACACACACACAGAGCATCTTATGGAAAGCCTGAACAAACTTTTTAGCCAACCCAATATATATATTATATATGTTATATATGTATATATATAATATATATATACACTCACAGATCATCTTATGGAAAATCTGAATAAACTTTTTAGCTTATTATTTTAGCTTACATTATATATATATATATATACATACATGTATATATATATATACACACACACATACAGACCATCTTACGGAAAACCTAATCAAATTTTTTAGCCAACCCAATATATATTTTATATATATATATATAGATATATAGATATATATATATACAGAACATCTATGGAAAGCCTGAACATTTTAGCCAACCCAATATATATATTATATATATATATACAATGCTGTTATTATATATTATATATATGTATAACTGAATATGTATAAATACTATGTATGTATAACTGAATCACTTCTGTACAGAAATTAACACAGAATTGTACATCAACTATATGTCAATAAAACAAATTTTAAAAGAATAATGGAAACTGTAGAACATCTTTCCTTTTGGAGGAACTGAAAGATCCCAGAAAATGCCTTGATCTAGGATATTGAATGGATGTGCAGAAAAGTACTCTGCTATCTTATTTTTCATGATAAATATACCTCCTGAGGAAACTATTCATCTTGAGAAAAAATAGGGAATTTTTTTACTCCACTCTTTACACACATTTTAACTAGCAGAGAATGGACATTTTAAAATGTTTATTTTATTTTATTTATTTCTGGGTGGGCTGCCGGCATCTGGAATCTTTGTTCCCCCACCAGGAGTCAAACCCACCCCCTGTGGTCAAAGTGTGGATTCTCAACCACTGAACTGGCTAGGCAAGTCCCAGGGAATAGACATTTTTAAAGAGAAATTGATTAATGTTGTCAGCTACTCTGATTATGCAGATGTGACAAGAGAGTAGCATAGGAAGGTGTGAGTACCAATCAAGAGATGTAAAAACAATAAAATTCCAGTTTCACTAAAGAAGGGGAAAAAAATGATCTCCCCCAAACACTGCCATGTTTTGCCATTCTCTGACACCTACGCTGCAATACCAGTTTATTCTCTGAGTAGTACTGTTAGTAAGATGGCTGTTCTCATGAAGGGAATGTTCCCATTTATGGAAACAGTAACAGTGCTAGTTAAGCAGGAGGCTTTGGAAGCTAACATTAACACGATTTGACTTCTCTGTTTATTTAAGAACTATTCACTTGATGGTTGAAAGCGGCATCTCCACCGGTCAGAAATAGCACTCAGGTTGTGGCTAGTATTGCTGAATCATCCACTCTGAGCAGAATTCAGTCTCTCACAACAGCTAAAATGCATTCTATGCAAAAGAGCAAAGGGACTTCATTTGCATAAAAATGGGTGATGCTACTAAATTAATTGGGTCAACTCATTTTGAGGTCTCACAATAGATGATTGCAGTTTTCCTTTAACTGTGTTTTCACGTGTCGGCAGCACACAATAGCACTGATTATTAATAAGATCTATTTTGAAGAAAACAGATTTCAAAATGCATAATTCAGCACATACTGTAGAACAATTGTTCTCCATCTTAATTTTTTATACACACAGTTATGGTTTGTTATAGCTAAACAGTGCAGAACCCTGCATCTCTCAGATGGAAGCTATGGTCACTTCAACCAGAAAAAAACCCTATGCTTATAAATAATTAGCTTAAGATGTCAAGAGGTTTACAGATTGCCCCTAAAATCCTATAAAGAGTGGGTAACCTTTCCCTTGTCCAGGGTCTTTTCCCAGCCCAAGGATTGAACCCAGGTCTCATGCATTGCAGGCAGATTCTTAACCAACTGAGCCACAAGGGAAACCCAAGAATACTGGAGTGGGTAGCCTATCCCTTCTCCAGGGGATCTTCCCGGCCCAGGAATCGAACCAAGGTCTCCTACGTTGCAGGCGGATTCTTTACCAACTGAGCTATCAGCATACGCTTATAAATAATTAGCTTAAAATGCCAGGAGGTTTACAGTTTTCCCCTAAAATCCTATAAAAATTCTAGGTCGGGACATCAGTACTAATATGCATACCAGTGTAAAAAACAAGAGGGCATGTCTCAGGAAGTATTTCCCAGGCCTTAAATAGGGTCCTTAGGTGATTTTTCTTTTTTAAACGAGCCATGCCTTTCAGACTGTTATTTAACAGCCAGAACTGTTGAGGGAAACAACAGTGCTTTATGTCTTGGAGATCTTAAAAAGAAGCTGGAAGAATTTGTTCCTCACCAACCTTTCTTAACAGTACTCGCTAATCTCGGGTTCAGATTTCCCGTGATTACTTACCTGACGCAAGAGACTTTGGGTTTCCTTCCGTCCCCATGCTGTGTATAAACCTGAGCCCAACTGAAAGTATGTCCTCAGCTAACGGCGACAGGAGCCCACCCAACTCAGGAAACCAGTGATTCTGTTGGCGGCACCGGGGCTGGACTTTTAAATCAACCATCTTTACTTGGGTGTCTTCCATTTATCTCCCTTAGTATTAGTTGCTCAGTCCTGTCCGACTCTTTGCGACCCCATGGACTGTAGCCTGCCAGGCTCCTCTGTCCATGGGATTCTCTAGGCAAAGATACTGGAGTGGGTTGCCATTTATCTCCTGTAGTTAACTGACAAGATGAAATCCCCCGAGAAAGGCTCCACTCTACCTAGAAGCAAAGGCGACACTCACCCCCAGCGGATGCGCTGCCTTCTGCAGCTTGTTGTAAGGACTGTACTTGGGCTTCGGGGGCTTCCCGGCGGCTCTGTCTTTGTGCCTTCGACTGCTAATGTGCTATTGAAGGCAACGAGAAGTGACAGCGTTAGAGAGACATCCTCCAAACCCCTCACAAACATGGCTTTATCCTGGGGAAGGGTATTCATTATTTCATGCAAGTTGCAGAAAGACAGAAATAAAAGAGCATGCCCTTTTGTCCTTGGTTGTGGATGCCTCCGGGAGAGAGAGTTTTATGCTGCCATTTCAGTCTATTTTTAACACATAGCAGGGTCTTCTTTTTCCCAGCTTCTCTCCTTATCAGAGCACAGATCTTAGTTTACGGACATTTACAAAGGAAAGAAATGTCTGAAGGAATTTTATGTGCAAATAAACCAAGGTGGCCAGGCAGGCACGTATTTATTTCCATACTAATATTTACCCTCACATTTGTACAGCCAAATGTCAACCCCTTCGCTTCTAAAGATAAATAACGAGGGTGCATAAAAATCGGTGCAAGAAGGTACGTATGCATATAAAACACAATACAGTATGAGGGCTGGGACTCCAAGGAGCCCGGTAGACCCGATCCCTCTGGAAGGCTGTCAGAGTAAAAGTGACCCCATCCCGTTAGCAGGTGGCTGCAGGATTCAGAACTGCAGCGCAGACCAGGGAGTAGGGTGGCCGCATGAGAGAAGAGCACGGGGTAGAATTAGTGGCAGCATGTACATGTCTAAACAAGGAAGCCCGGAATGCCGCACTCTGACCCTTAACGAAAAGCCACCCTTTCGAGTGGGAGCCCTGGTAGAGACCTGCTGTAGCCCCCTGGCCTCCCAAGCTTCATCTGTAAGACCCGCACAGACCCACTCACTTCCGACAAGCTTGGAAGGATGTTAGAAGCCGCTGCATTTCAGTATTCCTTTAAGCAGCTAACGCACGCACAGGTAAAGGGCCTGAATCAGAAGCTGAGTGGATGGAGGGGTGGGAGGGAGAGGGAGAGCAGAAAGGGGGCAGGGCAGGCACGCGGCCCCGGGGGACCCCACCCGTCCCCACGTCAGGAGTGGGTTCCGCCTACCTGTTTGAGCTGTGTCTCCGAGTTGACGTGCACATCGCAGATTTCACAGTGAAACGTCTTGTTCTGCAGGCCTGTGTTTCCCCTGTTAACCGGGCCCTTGCCTTTCACACCCACCCTAGGGAAGGCTTTGATCGTCCCGCTTCCGTTCCGAGCTTCTAGCATAGTTTTGTGCTTCGTACCTGCCAGAAATGTGAAAAAAGAGAGAAAAAAGAGGAGTGAAGTCTTCTAGTAATCGCCTCCAAGACACGATGCAGCAACACCGCGTGATGCAATGCTGAGTCTGCATGCACTGCTCCGGGGATTCTGCTTCAGGCACACTCATGACAGAAAACTGCAAACATGCGCTCTGACCGCCACGTGTAACATGCCTGATCACGCATGGTTCCACGTCCCCTGTAACAAACAAGCACCAGCTATAGGAGTAAACTCGGAAGTCCTGAGATGAAGTTAAGTGGGCGTGACTTCATTTCCTCTTGATGCTGATAAGACATGAATGCTATCTGATGAGGAAGGCTGATTTAGTTGCTACAGATATAGTTGGAGGTGAGGTGTAACAAATGCAATCAGCTTAAATAGGGTGTGTTTACAGAAGTGGCACTATTTAAATACCCACTTTCTGAACAGAATACAAACAGACTTTCCTGGCTGTGTAGTTTAGACTCAGAGAAGGAACGTAACACTATAGAGATCTTAATTACTCTGAAAAAAAAGGTCCTCTTAGAATAGCAAAGTTCACATTGATTGGCTATTTAATTTCAAATGTTTAAAAAAAAAATAAAAACGACTATAAAAAGGGGATTCACTGGCTAGGTGGGTACACTCTAAGAAATGCTTCTTTTTTATTATACCAGCCACATCTTTGCCCATCCCACATAACTAATGTTACTCTACTCATCAACATTTTTTTTTAACACTAAAATTCAGGATGGCAGTGTTCTCTCAGAATTTTTCTTCACAATTTCCTTCTTGAAGTTGACAAATATTCTTTACTTTTCTTATTTAGCCATGTGTTTTTGCTCTGAAATTTACTTGTGTCATCATTTATATTCTTCCTGCCATTCTGTTTTTTTTTTAAATTCTGTTTTAGAGGTTTTATCATCTTAATTGTGTTTATGAGATGGGTTTGATCCCTGGGTTGGGAAGATCCCCTGGAGAAGAGAAAGGCTACCCACTCCAGTATTCTAACCTGGAGAATTCCATGGACTATATAGTCCATGGGGTTGCCAAGAGTCGGACACAACTGAGCAACTTTCACTTTCACTTATCAGTTTTGGAAGCATAGGAAAAAAAAAAGAGATTCTTAACTTCTTGTTCTTGAACCAGTGTCTCAGAACCATTCAACATCAATAAAGAAAGATGTCGAGGGCTTTCCAGCTTGGAGCCATTCACCAATGTCTTCGATAAGAGGCAATGAATATATGGAACAGGTTTATACCCATGTTTCTCTCTTGCAAAATGATTAACTACTGAGTCCAATATTTATAAATGCATATTTTTACAACTTAGATCCCTCACTTTGAATCTCTATCCTTAGGCACAGCAATGAAGATATTCATATATCAACATATTAAGGAAAGAGAAAAGAGTCAACAGCTTGGGAAAAACCAGAACAGCTGAAATATGGAGCCAGGGCACCTGTCCATGGTGGTGGGGGTGGTCAGGCTATCCTGGGTTCATTCTCACCCCATCCCCTGTGGTCTAATGACCCAATGCTTCCTACTCTGTAAGAAGATGCCATAAATGAGAGTAAGTCAAGCAACGTTCTGGGGAGCAATGCATACATATATACATACATAATGAATGAATGAACATGTCTATATATGCACACACACACACGCATCATTCTGCCAAGCTTTCATGTATGTGATCCTTATACAGATCAGAAGCTTTTATGTCACTACGTGAGCAGATGATTATCCAACATTCTCTATCCAAACAGATGATTTTATTAAAAAAAAATTTTTTTTTTCCCATGCAGCTTATTCAGTCAAACTAATGAAGCATTCCCAGGGCCCATGTGGCTTAGGAATGTCTAAGCAGCAGAGAGTAGGAGAAAATTCTCATCCTGGGCACTTCTCTGGTTCAGTTCAGTTCAGTTCAATTCAGTTGCTCAATTGTGTCCAACTCTTTGCAACCCCATGGACTGCATCACAACAGGCCTCCCTGTCCATCACCAACTCCTGGAGCTTGCTCAAACACATGTCCATCAAGTTGGTGACGCCATCCAACCATCTCATCCTCTGTCATCCCCTTCTCCTCCCGCCTTCAATCTTTCCCAGCATCAGGGTCTTTTCCAATGAGTTAGTTCTTCACATCAGGTGGCCAAAGTATTGGAGTTTCAGCTTCAGCATCAATCCTTCCAAGGAACACCCAGGACTGATCTCCTTTAGGTTGGACTGAACAGAATACAAGTCTTTGCAGTCCAAGGGACTCTCAAGAGTCTTCTCCAACACCACAGTTCAAAAGCATCTGGTGGTCTAGTGATTAAGAGTCCACCTTCCAGTGCAGGGGATTGGGGTTTGATCCCTGATTGGGGAACTGCACAGAACAACTAGGCCTGCATGCCACAACCAGAGAGTCCACAGCCACAATGAAGATCCCTCATGATGCAGTGAGGATGCTGTGTGCTGCAACCAAGATCCAGTGCAGCCAAATAGTAAATATTGAAACATCCTCATCCTGACTTTCCTGAAGGCCCCTCAACTCTCTATGGTTAATATCGCCTGTGGTTTGAGCTGGTGTTTGATAGTTGCAACCAAAATGAATCAAAAAGCTGTTTCTACCTGTGTGAAGATAGAAGTACTTTATCTTGCTTGGGAGGATGATAAGAAAGTCTGGCTTGGGTAGTCTGACTCAAGATTGAGTGTCAGGTGGATTAGGAAGAGGAGAAAGAAATCAAGATTTGGCCCCAGAAGTAGGGGGTGAGCAATGGTAGGTAAAGATCTTAGCAACAGTAGATAAAGATTCAGAAAACAAAATGTTCTCCTTAATATCTTCAGACTCACCTATGTCTGACCCTAGAAGAAGAGATGTGAACAGAAGGTATGTGAACACTGGAGAAATACCAACCTCTCAGAAAAATCACTGCATCATGAGCATTGCTATTTCAGTGTAGTCCCTCCCCAGAAGCTACTAAAGATAGGAAATTAAGTATATCCACTCATGCATGCCTTGCCCAGATGCAAGCACGCACGCACACACACACACACACACACACACACACCCCAAACACATGTTTAAAATCATGCCAAGATTGGGCGAAAAACTCCAGCTAATAGCTTTGACTTTGGGGTTACCATTCATCATCAAACACAGTGGAACTTTTGTACAGTGCAACCTCCTGCGCTAGTAGCAGATTGTCAGTCATAATTAAATTGCTATTAGTTTCAAAAGAGCTGAAACCTTCAGTAGCCTGTCAGGGTAGCTATATTTGCTCCAAGTACAGCTACAATTAAGAAAACACGTACTCTTAATTCTCAAGCATTTACCTTTTTGAGAGCTCAAATATGCATGAATAATCTAAAACCAGTGATTATTGGGAGGATTTGTGCTTATTTTATTTTTTCAGCATTGTACCTATCGTGCTAAATTACCTACCTGCTCCTAGCTGCGCTATGTGATCGGCGATAATATTATGCCCGTTTGAGAGATAAACTGGGACTAAGAAAGGTTAAGTTACTTGCTGGGTTCACAAAGCAAGCACTGCTTGAAGTTGCTGACAGGTAGAAGGGGGATTTCTAACTAAGGTCCTAGAACTACGGGGATTCAGCTAGAAATCCACTAAGGAAGTCTGAGCTAGCTGAATTCCAGTTCCACAGGGATCTCTCACACCACCTTTAACTTCTCTAGGTTGTTAATGCTGTCTTTTTTCCAAACTTGGATTTTAATTTGAGTCTTTCAGATCCCCCTCCTCACTCTTCCCCTGTAACACGCCTTTCTGCTCGGCAGAGGGTCTGGGACCAGGGTGCTACATGAACGGCAGTGGTTTTGTGCTGGCTGATTTGATCACCTCTGGTTTCATTCACGTGTAAATATCTCGCCAGGCTGGTGTCTTTCCTTGAGACTGCACAGCAGGGCCTCGCAAAGATGCTTCTGTACTTTGAGGGGGCTGTTTTCCTCCCACCACTTTTAAAAGGCTGGCGCTGACAATGACCTTCATTTCAAGCTTCCATGTTTGCTGCAATGCAAAACCATTCTCCAACCAGAGTTTAGATCGAGCAAGTCACAATGCTCCTAGAAAAACTAATTTTGTTTGTTTGTTTTTTACTGGTTTGCTTTTGATTGCCTTGGATCAAGGTATTTTATCTGCAAAAATCAAAGTAATACACGGTGTGGGGTGAATGGAGGCTAGCTTTCCCTTTAACCCCCCATCATCTTTACAGATTCCACTTTTGGGATGGCTCTTTCTTTATTTGGATTTCATGCGTTCATTTATGGCTGTGCTGGGTCTTAGTTGCTGTGAGCAGGGTTTTCTCTAGTTACAGCGATGGGGGGCCACTCTCTAGTCACGTGGTCCGCAGGCTCCTCGTCGTGATGGCCTCTCTTACCAGGGGTCCAGGCTCTAGAGCACAGGCCAGGAGTTGTGAAGCATGGGCCTCGTTGCGCCTCAGCATGTGGGATCTTATTTCATGGACCAGGGATTGAACCCATGTCCCTTGCATTGGGAGGCAGATTCTTAATCACTGGACCACCAGGGAAGCCCCTAGGTGGCACTTAAGTTATGTACTGGCCTAAAGAAGAGGAGAGCAAGAAAACTGGCAACAGCTGTCTAAAATTAAATCAGATCAATCATCCGTTAGGTCATCAGGGAAACTGGGGAAAGTTCTTTAAAATGGAAATATATATATATAATTACTCCAAGGAGAGGCATTCAGTTCAGTTCAATCACTCAGTCATATCTGAATCTTTGTGACCCCATGGACTACAGCACTCCAGGCCTTCCTATCCATCACCAACTCCCGGAGTTTACCCAAACTCATGTGCATTGAGTCAGTGATGCCATCCAACCATCTCGTCCTCTGTCGTCCCCTTCTCCTACTGCCCTCAATCTCTCCGAGCATCAGGGTCTTTGCCAAGGAATCAGCTCTTTGCATCAGGTGGCCAAAGTATTGGAGTTTCAGCTTCAGCATCAGTCCTTCCAATGAACACCCAGGACTGATCTCCTTTAGGATGGACTGGT